CCATGCCGGACTCCGTCTATCAGACCGAGCGCGGGGCTGGTGAGTCCACCCCCGCCGGCCCGGCCACTTCGACCCGGCGCCCGCGTAGCCCCCTCTACAGCATGCTGGCCCTGCTGGCGGTGGTCTGCCTCTCGGCCTTCGGGTACATGGCCTTCCGGGGCCAGCCCTCCGGGCCGTCGGCCGCCGCCGTGGCCCGCTACCGCCAATCGGCCGGCATGTTTGCCCCGGTCCCCGGCGACACGCCGGAGATGGCCGAGCTCCGCGAGCACGGCGAGCGCCACTTCTCCCGGCGCGTCATCCGCGCCTCGCCCGGTGTCTATGTGGCCGTCGGCTTCGCCCTGGCCAATGTCATCCTCATCGAGGGTGTCAATGGCATCATGATCGTCGATACCACCGAGTCGCTGGAGGCCGCGCGCGATGTCCGTGCCGCCTTCCTGGAGCACCTGCCCCAGCGCATCCTCGACAAGCCCGTGCGCGCCATCGTCTACACGCACTTCCACAATGACCACGTCCACGGTGCCCTGGCCTTCGCCGATGATGGTGTCGGCCTGAATGGCGACCTGCCGGATGTCGTCACCGACTCCAATGGCCGGCTCAATCCCCGGCTCAATGGGCCGCTCGATGTCATTGCCCATGACACCCTGCAGGCGCACCTCCTCGAGACGGTCGGCGTCACCCAGGTGGTCACCTATGTGCGCAGTATGCGCCAGTTTGGCAGCCTGCTGACCGGGTCCGATCGCGGCCCCAACTCCGGCATCGGCCCGTACCTGCGCTACAACAGCCGCAACACCATCGGCACCCTGACCCCGACCCTCACCTTCAAGGAGCGCATCCTCTATCGCGGCCTCGGGGGTGTGGTTGGTGCTGATGTCGACATTGATGGGACCCCCCTGCCGCCGCGTGCCGGCGGTGGGGTTCCCGGCTTCGAGGGCGAGGATCGCATCCCGGCCATCGAGATCTTTCACTGCCCCGGCGAGTCGGATGACCAGATTTGCGTCTTCATCGCCGCCACTCGCACTCTCATCGGCGCCGACAACTACTACGAGGCCTTCCCCAACATCTATGCCATTCGCGGGACCACCACTCGCAATGCCAACCAGTGGATGACCTCCGTCGATACCATGCTCGCCACCAATCCCCATGTGCTGGTTCCCTGCCACGGGTCGCCGCTGGTCGGTGCCACCACCGTCCTCGACAGCCTGAATGCCTATCGCGATGCCATCCAGCATGTCCACGACCAGACCATCTTCTGGATCAACCGCGGCCTCACGCCGGATGACATCATCACCCAGATTGACCTGCCCCCGGAGCTGGCCGCTCGCGACGACCTCCGGCCCTTCTACGGCACCGTCCCCTGGGCCGTGCGTGCCATCTTCCAGTCGTACCTGGGCTGGTTCAGCGGCGAGGCCGCCGAGCTGTGGCCCCTCAACCCGACGGTCCGCGCGCAGAAGCTCGTCGATCTGGTTGGCGGCGACTTCGACACCCTCCTGGCCAAGGCCGAGGCGGCCTTCGATCCCAATGACGCCCAGTGGGCCCTGGAGCTGTCGACCTCGCTGCTGCGTTTGAACCCCGACCATGCGGGTGCTCGTGATCTGCGCATGCGCTCGCTCGTGGCCATGGCTCGCCGCCAGCGCTCGGCCAACGGCCACAACTACTACATGACCCAGGCCCTGGAGATGACCGGCGTGGTGGACATGCGTGCCTCCGAGCGCCAGGTCCGCAATGTCATGCTGACCATCCCGGAGGAGCGCATCCTCTTCCGCAGCATGTCGGTCAACCTGATCGCCAGCGAGGCGGCCGGCATCCGCCGGTCCTTGACCATTCGCTTTGCCGACCTGCGCAAGGCGTACATGCTGCAGATCCGCAACAGTGTCCTGGTGGCCGTGCGCGTGCCCTTCGACGATGATGAGCATGATGCCATCGCCGCCCAGTGCACCGCCCTGCAGATCCAGCGCCTCGGCCTGGATGTCGAGCTCGATGAGGCTGGCGGAGTGCCGCTCTTCGATGCGGTCCCCCCGGCGCCGTATGCCATCAACTGCAACTTCGACTTCACCTTCGACGAGGACTCCATGGCCGATGTCGATGACCCGGCTCCCACCCAGCCGCCGCCGACCCCGCCGTCGACCGCCGCCTCCATTGCCTCCATCGAGCAGGAGGATGTCGATCTCCTGACCAAGGGCCGCTTCGAGCAGGGCTCCGCCTTCTTCGCCGAGCGCATGGCCTCCCCGGAGGAGCTGAAGGCCCAGCGCCGCCTGGCCATCGAGAAGTATGCCCGTCGCCTGAACAGCAAGTTCCGCGAGGCCAGTGTCAACATGGCCAACGCGGCCAATGCCCTGTCCATGACCACCTCCCTGCGTACCTTCAAGCTCATCCTTGGCGGTGCCAACCCGGTGCCCTTCATGATGGATGGCTCTCTGGTTCTCCAGGGGTCGCCCCTCAAGCTGATGCGCTTCTTCCGTCTCTTCGGCAAGCTGCAGTACCGCCCGGACGACGAGTCCCCGCCTGCTGGCGGTGGCTCCTTCTCCGGCAGCGCTGACTATGAGGATCTGGTTTCCGGCTCCGCTTCCGGCTCCTCGGTGTCTGGCTCTTCTGCCTCCTCCTCGGTGTCTGGCTCTTCTGCCTCCTCCTCGGTGTCTGGCTCTTCCGCCTCTTCCTCGGTGTCTGGCTCTTCCGCCTCTTCCTCGGTGTCTGGCTCCTCTGCCTCTTCCTCGGTGGCTGGTTCCTCTGCCTCCTCCTCGGTGGCTGGTTCCTCTGCCTCCTCCTCGGTGGCTGGCTCTTCCGCCTCTTCTTCCTCCCCGGCCTCCTCTTCCGACGAGAACTCTTCCGACGAGGACTCCTCCGACGAGGACTCCTCCGACGAGGACTCCTCCGACGACAGCGACAGCAGCGGCGACCAGGGCAGCAACTTCGTGCCGGAGCCCACCACCAAGCCCCCCAAGCCCACCAAGGCTCCCAAGCCTCCCAAGCCCACTAAGGCCCCCAAGCCCCCCAAGCCCACCAAGGCTCCCAAGCCTCCGAAGCCCACTAAGCCTGGTCGCGTTGTGGAGGACGCCTCGGACACTCATCCGGCCACCGGCTTCCTCAACTGGGTTCTCGAGTCTGTGCGCAACTTCTTCGGCTGGTAAATGGCACGCCGCTGCCTTCTCCTCCCCTTGTGCCACCCCGCGCATGTGTGTAGTAGTGGGCTCCCCTCCTCCTCCGCTCCTTGCCTCTCCCTCCTCCCCCCCCTCTCTTCCCCTCTCTTCCGCCACGTGCGAGGAGCGATGGCCGCGACGGGAGGGGTAGGTCCGGGTGGGGCCAACGAGCATATTGGAGGGTGTCTGTGTGTACCTACACCAGATCATCTAGATAGATTCGAGCCCCTCCACACACCTCTCCCCTCTCTCGACATGTGGCTGGGGCCCCTCTCCGTTCGAACAGTTCCCCGAACCGCGCCTGGGCGGCCCAGCTGTGACTGTCCTTTTTGTCTTTCCCCGGCGGCATGCCTCTGCGCGCGCCCCCCTCCCCCTCCCGGGGAAGGGCCGGCGGCGCGGCTACGCCAAAATACATCCACCTCCTTGTTTATGCACCCACACATCACTCGTGTTCCTTGTTCTCTTCTCTGTCTCTCTCTCTCTCTCTGCCCCCGAAGTGTGCTTGTGCAGGGGGGGGTGGG